AATGACTATCAGATTTATTATCCATAGAGTTGAACAGTTTTGTACAAAACTTAAGTGTCAGTTAGAAGCATTTATCGCACCTAAGAGATTTTCGAAAAAAAAATTTAAAGATGGCCATAAAAATATTAGAGCTACTTTATGGAAAAAGTACTACGGTAGCATTACTCCCAAAAACATCGCCTTATTCTTAAGAACGATGACTTGCATTTTTTCGGCCTATTCTTTTTGTTAAAGTAGAAAAAAAAAATATTGAAGAAGAGGAAGAACTTTTCTGTAAGTTATAGTTCGAAGTTTAAAATCTTCGGCATGAGTCACTATTTAACTTCTCTCGTGATCAATACTTACAAAGAATTCATAAAACACACCTTTGCATGGGGTGTCTCTACTGTGTGTATGTTTCACAGACGTGAACATCGAGAAAGTAACTCTCCCTCTCTCGGTTAACATTGTGAGTGCCAATTCTTTGCGAAATGGAAAATCATAAAATCAAGCGACCAGACATCAAATTTGTTGTTGGTATACAAACGAACAGTTCTGAGAGCGAGACTTGCTCTACTGGATATTTTGATAATGGTATTCTCCCTTCTGTTTATGGACATTACTCCAGATTATGCTCGACTTATGCTCGAGATGCTCGATAAAGTTCAAGTAGCAAGTAAACTTGCTTGATCTCGAACGTGAGTACCCCTGCGAGTAAAAAAATAAATCTAGCATACTTTATTTTTCTATGCCTCTCGAAAACGAGTGAGTATACTTTGCTCATTGGATAAAGAGGGTATATATCCTTTACGTATACGGTTTAAACGTGCCTTATCGAAATAACGGTTTTAGACCCTAGGTCTCTTTGGACCAAATCCGTTTCAGAAAATTTGGAGTCGATATAGCGACGTCCGTCCGTCTGTCTGTCTGCTGGCCGGTGCGCACAATAACTCTCAAAAGGAGTATCCGATTGGATGCAAACTTGGTATATCGTAATATTATTATCGAACTTAGATCGAATTTGGCCATTGGCAATGTCGGTCCATTCCTTCTGGTACCTCCCCCACAAAAGTTCGTAATTTTCAAACAAAAAATATTTTACTGCACAGAAATAGATAGGACAATCCGATTTTGCTCAAACTTTACAAATCCTAATATTTTCACTAGTGCTAGGTAAGGTGTGAAAATGAACAGTATCGGTCCACTCCACACCCCCACAAAGGGTCAAAATTTTGAATAATTTATTAATCCAAAATCTGGTGTGAATATCTAATATATCGGACAACTCCCTCTGGTACCTCCCCTACAACAGGTCAAAATATTTCTATCAGCACAATTCCAGATGGAAAGATAGAATGTGTCGGACCACTCCTTTTGGGACCTCCCACACAAAGGGTCAAAATTTTGAATAATTAAAACATTTATTAAATGTGAAAGTTGAGTTGGAATGTCTTCAAATTTCAATATTTTTACCCACACAAGGTCTCGTATGAAGAACGGATAGAACGGAGCAATACTTCTTGTACCTTCCCACAACGGGTCCAAATTTTGAAAAACCGTTAGGCTCATAAAGGGCGAAATGAACATCCGGTTGTTTCCAAACTCAACGAATCATAATATTTCTATCAACGCAAGACCTGGTGTGAAGATGGGATATATCAGTCCACTCCTTGTGATACCTCTTCACAAGGGGTCACAAATTTCAGTAACTATATTTATCCTAACATGTGAAACAAGTCAGAGATTTTTGAAGTACCTAAATATTTATCTTAACTTGTGATATCTGTTATTTAATTTTTTAAACCAAACGAAACAAAAATTTCGGAAAGCATTGTCGCCTCTCTCTACCAACAAAACATATGTCGATAGGTGTTGGTATTTATTTATTTATTTATTATTATTTATTTTTTTTTTTTTTTTTGGTACACAAACACCACCGGTTCCCTGTTTCTGGAAAATTATTTCTTCCACCCAATTTCACTCTTGGAGTAAACTTCAACGCGAATTAGAGTATTTCGAGTCCCAAATTTATTTTCAAGCAGGAGTAACTCACGAATGCTCCCACATAAAACAAAACACTAAAGAGTAAACATTGTGCAAAACTCGTATGTTTTACTCACGATTAAAAACGATCAAATCCGAGATAAGAAAGTTACCAAGTGCCGTTCTGTGACTTGACCACTTTGATCGAAGCGTCCATGGTCTTTCCTTTACCATGGCTTTCCTTTACCTTTTTCACCAGCAATTTTTTACAATCTTTAATTATAAAGTTTACATCCAATTTTCTGTTCAAAACTATTTCAACGTCTCCATATGTAACCCCCAGACACCAACAGTGACCTCGATACCAAATTTCAGAAATCCGTCTCTATCTCAACAGCCATTGTGGTATTTTGCATCTTTGGGAAGTTCATAGTACGCATTTCCAAAACCACGCCCTTCTCTCAACTATAGACACCAACAGTGAAATCGAATTCAAATTTGAGGATTTCAGCTCTATCCCTTCACTGAATACAAAGTTTTGTAGCATTTGGTTCTATTCATACATTTCATCATCATTTCCAGGTACCAATAGAGAGTTCAATATCATATTTAAGGATTCCATTTCCCTATTTCTTCAACTAATACCAAATTGTACTAAATGTAGTACAATTAAGAACTTTTCATACAAAAACACCTTCATATCTCAATTCCAGATACCAACAGAGACATCAATATCAAATTTAGGATTTTATCTCCATACCTGCAACTAATACCAAATTTAGTACTATTTAGTACTTTTCGTACAACCACAGTGCACCTTTGCAAGACCACAGACACCAACAGTGACCTCAATGTTAAATTTCAGGATTGCAGCTCTGTAAATTCCCCCATTATCAAATTTAGTAACATTTAGTACAGTTATAGTAGGCATATATAAAACCAGCTCCTTGTCTCAATCACAGATACCAATGGTGACACCCATATCAAATTTCAGGATTTCAGCTCTATCCATTCACTTAATACCAAACTTAGTACTATTTAGTACTTTTCGTACAATTATAGTGCATATTTCCGAAACTACCTCCATATGTTCAGCCTACACAGGAACGGCGACCTTAATACCAAAATTCAGATTTCAAGCTCTATCTGTTCACCCAATACTAAATTATACCAAATATTGTACTATTAAGCACCTTTTGTACACTTGTAGTAGACATTTCAAAAAACTACCACCAACAGGGATCCTCAAACAAAATTTCTAAATTTCAGCTTCATCCGTTTACTCTAAACCAAACTCTTCCAAATCTAGTACCATTTAGTACAGTTCACACACTTAAAACACATTTCCAAAACCACCTTCACATATCATACTTACTTTCCTCCCTTGATTCTCATACCAGATTCAAAGTTTTAATACCAAATTGTACCAAATGCAGACTTTTCACACACTTTTAATGCGAACTTCCGAAACCCCTTTGGTACATCCATCATTAGTGACTGTCAATCCAAATTTTAGAGTTCTAGCTCTTCAGGTTCGTCAAATACAAAGGGTACCATACTGAGTATCTTTTAGTACTTTTCGTACCGTTCTAGTACGAATATTTTAAAATCCAGCTTTAACCGGCACCTTCTGACCAAAAGTGACACTCACCCAAGATACCGGCTTGAGCCGTTTCGTCTGGGTGTTAATGAATCATTTAGTCAGTCAATCCGTCAGTCGGTTATCTTACTCAGAGTCAAAACGAATAATGATAAAAAGCTAAAATTTTGCACAGATCACTCCTTTGTCTACAGGCAGGTCAAGTTCGAAGGTGGCCTATATCGGTCCATGATATCGTATTCCCCCATATAACAGTTCCTATATTTGGTATTTCGATGATTTCAGCTACATTTTTCAATGGAATTGTCTAAAAATCCATACTAGAAGTTCTTTCTAAGCCCTTAACCCCCTGGAAGAGAAATGTCTATATAGGTCCACGATATTCGATATTTTGACTATTTTACGGACATTATTCCCGAAGTTGTATCAAATTTTGTTTTTAGAGTTCTAATGGGAACTACAGTCTATGACAGAAAATTGTCTATGTAGGTCCAGGTATTCGCATAGATCCCTCCTCCTCCTACCTCCCCATATTCGGTATTTTGACGATTTTAGGTACAATATTCACCGAAAATTTTGGAAATTTTGTGAAGTTCCTAATAGGTACTAAAGCCTGTGAGAGAAAATTGTCTATGCAGGTCCAGGTCTTCGTAAAGCACCCGATTTTTTTTTAAGTTTTGTATTTGAATATTGTAGTAGCTTATGACAAATGTTGCCTTTGGAGAGCCACGTCTTTGTACATACCCCAATATAACGGCTATATTCAGTGTTTTTAGGATTTTAACAGAATTTTTAACGGAATTTATTTCATTGAAAATTCGTTCCAAATGGTGGAGGGTATTCAAAGTTCGTTCCAGCCGAACTTACTGCTTTTTTACTTTTTTTTAATTAATGGAATTTTGTCCATAAAATTTATTTGCTAAAAAAATAACAATCTTGATTTTCAGAATAGTGTTGGCTTGTTTGTTCGGGATGTTGGTCTGGCCTAATCCCTTTATTGTTGTTTTTATAAAAACAATGTTTGTTTATTAGTGGAGAACGATGGTAATGTTTACCAGGGGGAAAGGCAGGCAATACCTAGGTTTCGGAAAGAGCCACCAATCCTCATCAGTTCCCTTGTTTTTTGTCTGGGATATTCTCCCCAGAAGTTATTTTAAAAATAACTTCTATGACAAAAAACATTTTTTACCCAAGTGATTTTTTAATTATTTTCGGTATTGGTATCGAGGATTCTTTAAAATAGGTTAAAGGACACTCGGAAGGTCAATAGTAGAAAAATATATTTTCAGGACATTTTTCGTCAAAAATATCTTTGTTGGTTAATCCATTAATTTTTGTAGGATTAGGAGACTATCTATTACTTTTGGTTATCCTTTAACAAATAAATGTATCACATCAATGGTTTGTCTAATAACTATTATTATGTTTATCTTTCCAGGTCTTGGTTGAAAAACTTTTACGTTCATGTCCAGACATAAAAAATATATATTTACTGATACGACCCAAGCGAGGACATGAGGTATCACAGCGTCTCAATGAGCTGCTGGAGGCACCGGTAAGTCGATAATACCTTCAATATCGGGGTTTGCAATATAATATCATAAACATTCTCTCTCTCCCATTAGCTTTTTGAAAAATTGAGAAGAGAAAAACCAAAGGATTTGAGTAAAGTAATTCCTATATCGGGCGATATTACATCCGAAGAATTGGGTATATCTGAAAGTGATCAGGTATGTTCTGTTGCGTAGTACAGCAATTTTGAAAGAAATTTTAAAAAACAATTCCCTTGCAGGCTCTATTGTGTCGCAATGTCTCGATTGTATTCCATTCAGCTGCCACTGTTAAATTCGACGAAAAGCTCAAATTATCAGTTACAATCAATATGTTAGGGACAAAGCGTTTGGTTGAGCTCTGCCATCGCATGATGTCCTTAGATGTGAGTGGAAATGGTGCTTCCTAACAACCATCTTCATTACTCATATTATTTCTTATTTCCCACCAGGCACTAATTCATGTATCCACTGCCTATTGCAATTGCGATAGAACCGAAGTATCTGAAGTTATATATGCACCACCCTATAATCCCGATGATATTATTTCCCTAGTAAATTGGCTTCCGGAAGATACACTCGATAAGGTAGGAGAGGGGATTACAAAACAATTAATAGTTCTTAATAGCAATTGTCCTCATTGACTTTTTTCCCCAGCTTACCCCCTCATTGATTGGTGATCGTCCAAATACTTATACATTTACAAAAGCCTTAGCTGAACATATGCTACTCAAAGAGGCCGGTAATCTTCCAGTTGCCATTGTGAGGCCATCTATAGGTAATTGTCTACAACATTTAATTATAAATTCATAAATTGAAAATTAATTTAATTTTCTCCTCTCTCTCCCGTTCTCGCTTCAGTGACTGCCAGCTTAAATGAACCCTTTGCCGGTTGGATTGACAATTTAAACGGTCCCACCGGCCTCTTGTCGGCCATGGCCAAGGGCATCTTCCGCACCATTGTCTGCGAGGAGAATTGCATTGCCGATGTGGTACCTGTTGATATTGTGATTAATCTGATGATAACGGCCGCCTGGCGCACAGCATCCCACAAAACTGATAATTTATTAATCTATAATTGTTGTACCGGCCAAAGACATCCCATCACGTGGGGCAAATTTGTTAACTATGCCGTTGATCATGTGCGCAAACATCCATTGGGTGAGTAGATGTGGGGACACATTTTATAAAATTACATACACACATATCTACATGGGAAAAGAAAATTCAAACGAGAAATTGAAATTTTGAAAATGATGTCGCACCGAGTGGACAAACTAATGGGTATTTGGAAATGTGTACTAAATAGTACACGAATGGAACTGGCATTTTGAAATGCGTCTAGGATAAGTAATATAGTACAGAAGAATGATACTTGGAAGCATGTACTTAAAGGTTACAACAGTTTTTAAAAGATAATAAATATTTAATTTTTTCCCAGTAGGCAGGTTAAAATTGGGTATTTGAAGTTCGAAAATTGGGTATTTGAAGTTCGAAATTAATACTACAGCCTATTACAGAAAATTGTCTGTGCAGGTCCATGTCTTCATATAGCCCCCATATAACGGTGCCTCCCAATATTCGGTATTTTGATTATTTTAGCGTCATTATTCACCATAATTATTTCAAATTACGTATTTGGAGTTCGTAATGGGAACTACAGTCTGTGACAAAAAATTTTCTATGCAGGCCCAGGTCTTCGTATAGACCCCATATATCTGTACCTCCCTATATACGGTATTTTGACGATTTTAGGTACAATACCCACCGAAATTGTTTGAGATGTCGTATTTGAAGTTCGTAATGGATGCTACAGCCTGTGACAGAAAATTGTCTATGCTGATCCAGGTCTACGCACAGTTCCGATATAACGGTACCTCCCTATATACGATATTTGGATGATTTTAGCTACATTATTCACCGTTTATTTCAAGTTTCGAATTTGAATATTGTAATGGCTTATGAAAAACAATGTCTATGTAGGTCGTATAGACCCCAATATAACGGCTTTATTCGGAAATTTTAAAATTTTAACAGAATTTTTAAAGGATTTTATTTCCAAATTCGTTCCAAATGGTGGAGGGTATTCAAAGTTCGGCCCGGCCAAACTTACTGCTTTTCAACTTGTTTTGTTTACATTACTAAAAGGGTGAACATCACAAAATATCGTTAATTGTTGCATACTTTTTAGCTTGTGTGAAAGTTAAGAAGTAACAAGTTAAGTTAAGTTAAGTTATATTTTATTGAGTCTTTTTTTATCAATAAGATTACAATTAAAAACAATATAAAGGAATCCTTAAGACTATAATGTATTATCCTAATGTCAAGAAAAGTTATACAGCATCATGCTTCATTTAATAAAAAGGCAATAAAATGTGAACATCTGGTGTGTTAATGGACGCCCTTGCTCCCGGGACTTTTACATAAAAGAGAAAATCTTAAATCTAGGGTTTAAAACTTAAAACTAAAACTTACATCTAAAAATAAAAACATATGAAAAAGAACAAAAAAAAAAAAAAAAAAAAAAAAACAATAAAATAACAACAATAATAATAATAAAAAAAAATAATAAAAAGGTACGCAATAGCTACCCACGATGAGTCCCGGCGAGCGCCTTTTCATAAAAGCAGGTAATGCCTGCCTGATCCTCATTTGAAAACCCCAAAGGAGAGAGATATTGTGTGTTTGACAACCCAAAGTTTCTCTGACTATTAATTGCCTCTATCATATGAGCATTTTCATGAAATTCCAATCTTAAATTAAACTTATCCAAAATATCAAAAGCGTAGTTGGAAAAACGCTTTAACTTTGATTTGGAATAAATATAGTTATTTGAATATCTTTTATTTCTACTGCTAAAATTTTTCCCTATACACAACCTTAAAATTTTTCTCTCCAGCATCTCAAGTTCCTTCATTATCGTCGGTGATATATTGAACCAAATTGGAAATGCTTAACTAATTATTGGTCTTATGCAGGTTTTGTACAAAAGAATTTTGGTGTTGGATGGTAAAAATTTGTTACAAAAAAGTTTTAGAAAAGAATTAAAGATTTTTTGAGCTTTATTTCGAACTTTTCTCGCGTGAACATTAAATTTAAAAAGTTTATTAAACTCAATACCTAAATATGTGACAGAGTCTTTGAATGGAATTTCTGTACCATTCAAAACAAGTTTTAATGTCTTACTTTCGGGAACAACAAACCGTTTGCATTTCCCAGAAGCATTCCTTATGCAAATGGCTTCACATTTTGAAGGGTTTATCTTGATACCCCATTTATCAAAATATTGATTTACTACGCGGAGATGTTGCGAGATATCTGCCAAAGCAACAACAGGCGATTCGTGGTGCGAATATAGCAAGGAATCGTCAGCATACAAAATACTTTTGGAGTGTTCACGATCGTGGGGGAAATCACTCATAAAAATATTGTACAGATGGGGAGCTAAAACCGAACCCTGAGGGACACCACAGTTCACATCTGAAAGCTCTGACAACTTGTGTTTAAACTGCACGCAAAACTGTCTTCTTGTGAAAAAATTTTTAATCAGCTTTATGATCTGAGGATTAAATCCAATGTTTATCATTTTCGTCAATATTCCATAATGAGAAGCATGGTCAAAAGCTTTTTCTACGTCAAGAAAAACAGCGACAGTACATTTTTTATCCCTTAAATTTAGAACAATATCATTATGAAATTTTGTCATTGCATCAACTGTTGAATGGCCCCTCTGAAAACCGAATTGTGAATTTGGAATATATGGCAACGATATTCCGTTATCCATTTTTTTCCGAATAACTACCTCGAAAAGTTTGCCCAAATTTGAAAGTAAAGATATAGGTCTAAGATTTGAAATTTCTTCACTGTTGGCTTTTTTCTTAATGGGAATAATCTTGGAAATTTTCCAAGAATACCCATTAGAAATGCAATTATTAAATATAATGGTTAAATACTCGAAAGCTTTGACGGGAAGTTTGCGAATAATAAAATTCGAAAGACCATCGAGTCCGGAAGACTTTTTATTCTTGATAGCTGCTGAAATGGCCATCACTTCATCTAAGGTTGTAAGACTTTCGCATCCTTCTCTATTTCTGGAATCCACGTCATTTGAAAATGAAACACTATGTTGAGGAAGGTTGGCAATGAAGCCGTTAATGAGTTCTTCTTCAGAAGGTTGGTGTACTGGCATATTATAAATACTTGAAAAGAACAATCTTAAACGGTTGAGACATTCAGCCTCATTAGTAAGCGTTACTCCATCAATTGATAGTTTTTGCAAGGGAGGCGTCTTATAATGTCCAATGATCTTAAAAACTTGTCTATGTGCTTTCGGTCCAGGCTTAATTCCACGGAGTTTTTCCCTGAAAATTGAGACCTGTTCCAGTTCAACTTGTTTCTTAATCATTAAACCTAGCAATTGAATCTGCTTAGATAACAATCGATATTGCGGACTATGTCTATCACTTGAGAGTTGATAAATTCGTTTAAGTTCCTTTTGCCAACTATATTTCAGTTTGTACAGATTCTTAATTCTATCAGAAATCAAAAACTTCCGTCTTCCTAATTCGACTTTTTCAGAATGAGATTCAGAAACCGTGCATATAACAGAAGTAAAATGTTGTATATATTGATCAATTTCTCCGTTTGTTAAATTATTAACGGAATTAGGATAATTGGTCATAACACCCTGCGTCACATCATGTTTAAAATCGCTCCAATTCGTGTTTTGGTGACTCACAAAGAAGGATGGAGGATGTAGAAAAATTTCAACACTTGGAAGCTTAATATTAAGTTTTAAAGGGTAGTGGTCTGAAAATGTGGGCAAGGATGTGGTGGAATATAAAGGGTTTGGTAGATCCGAAGAATTAGAATTGACGATGAAATGGTCCAGGAATGATGAACCATTTGGAAAGGTGGGTTCAGTCGAAGAAATTTTTGTGAACATATAGGGGTGTTGTTGAAGAAAGTCGTAGAAGCAAGTGCCGTTAGAGTTATTTATAGAATCCCCCCATGAAACATGTTTAGCATTGAAATCACCACCAACAAAGGTGAAATCGAAACCTCTTGAATAATTTCCTAAACAAGTTAAAGAACTGTTTATTTGTGTATGACTAGAATTCCCAGGGATATAAATGGAGCCTAGTAAAATTTTCCTAGGAACCCCATTAATTGAAACATCTATTGAGATAAATATACAAGGAAAACAGAAATCAGAAATATCTTCAATTTTATATTTGTAATTTTGCCTGAGCAATATGGCAACCCCTTGCGCACTATTGTCCCGAATAAAATTGCATCCCTCGAAACTAACTCTTACACCTGGGCGCAAGTGAGTTTCCTGAAGGAATGCAATATCAACATCAAACTTGTTGATTAAATTATATAGTTCAAATCTACGGCCATACTCAATAAGTGACCTGACGTTAAATGTAATTAGGTTTAGGAAGCTACGGACCATAAACTTCATTCACCTCGCGTAAAAGACTTATACATTGCTGTATAGCCTCATCCTTTGAAATCGATTTGAACTCTCTTAGAAATGTAGCTATTTTATTTTCAAGCGCAATCGTTTTTGGAGGGCAAATTTCGTTTGCGATCTTTAAGAATTCCTCAATAATCTTGGGTTTGGGAGATGGAATTTGACTACGAGCATTAATAACACCTCGAGAAGCATCTGAAAATGAAACATTCGGTCTAATAATTGAGTTAAAGGCATTTAGGACATTAGTATTAGCTTTCTCTTTTCCCTCTTTCGCAACTTTTCTAGCTCTATTCTTTAGCTCAACATATTTTTTATATTCAGAGCAACCTCTGAAGCTTGCTGGATGACCGTGATTACCACAATTTACACAATATGGCAAATTACTCTCAGTCTGCACAAATTGGCATTCCCCTCTAGCATGGTTTTGATCGCACTTTACGCAGGCGGACTCTCTGTTGCAATTTTTTGACATATGTCCCCATTTCTGGCATCGCCAGCATCGTACATCACCCAAATTCCTTCGTGGCAACTCCCAAGTTATTAGTTGCTTCAATATATACCTTTGACATTTTAATTCGGACACCGATTTACCAGGAAGCAAAGTTACAAGGAAAAGACCCGTGTCAACATTGTTTTTCCTCGAGAATGAAGTAGTGAACTTGGAGACATTATCGATTATATCAGGAACTAACCTATCAATATCCGCTTTAATATCTTCTACATTTGACTCATACAAGAGGCCACGCAAAACCATGGATTGTCGTTTCATCTCCTTTGGCGTAAAAGAGTAAGAATCTAATTTTTTTTCGCGAAGGAGGCTCATTAATTCTGTGTGAACTTGTGTATCTTGTAAATAGAGTTTACTTTTAAGTCTGTTTTTGTTCACTATCTTAAAAACAATATTTCGGGCTTCTAAATCTTTAATTAGACTCTGCATATCTACACCAAAAAGAAAGATTGGGGGACAAAAAGATTTCTTATTACCATTAGGCTTTTCTACATTTGCCGTGTTTTTCAATGGGGCTGTCTTATGCAACGAGCTATTAGATTTAACATCAAGGTCACCTAACAGTGCAAATCTATTAGATGGCGAGGTCGATGTACCAGGTACGTTTTTAGGAATGCTAAATTCAACATTTGACAAATCTACTTTTGCTTTTTTATTGCTACTTGCGATTTTCCTTTTCTTCTGCACGAGTTGAAAATCTTCATCAGACAATTCTTCATGATCCATATTGCTATTAGAGTCTAGTACCGAAATTCTTGCGGAATGGTCTTGCATGGGATTTGGGTTTTGCAAATTCTTGACGTCTATTGATGGCAAGTCTTCAACACTTAAAATCATATTCGTATTTTTGTGTAATTTACACATTGAAGATGTAGCTTGACGGTTTGAATTCGATATTCCATCATTGTTAGAATCAGGTCTTGGTGATACATGTTCATTGAAACAAGCAGCATGCAAAAGCGTTCCGATTCTTGATTTTGTGGTCTGTCTGCCTTTATCTGGAGGTATGTTCTCAGCAGGATCGCGGACATCTCCGCCCAAAGAGTTCAAATCCATTTCAAAATTTGACAGAAAAGTTTGTTCAGAAAAAAAATTAATTAATTTTTATTTTTCCGTAAATTTAAAAACACGTCTACTTCGTTCAAAGGCTTTCAGCAAAGTCTAAGAAGTAACAAGTAAAAAAGCAATAAGTTCGGCCGGACCGGGTGGAACAAATTTGGAAATTTTCAAAAAAAAAAACATTCGCTAAGATTTCTGCTAAAATCTTAAGAATACCGAATATAGCCATTGTATTGGGGCCTATACGAAGACGTGGACCTACATACGCAACTTTTGTCATTAACCATTACAACATTCCAATACAAAACTTGAAAACAAAACCGGTGAATAATGCAGCTAAAATCATCAAAATACCGAATATAGGGAGGTACCAGAATTATTTCAAATTACATATGGGGCCTATACGAATGCCTGAACCTGTGTAGACCATTTTCTGTTATAAACTGAAGTTTCTATTACGAACTCTGAATACGAAATTTGAAACAACTCCGGCGAATAATTATAAGAATTTTCCGACAATTTCATTGGAAAATGTGGAAATGAATATACCGAATATCGGGGGTACAGTTAAATGGGGGATATACTATATCGTAGACCTATATAGAGAATTATCTTCCAGAGAGTAAAGTACTTAGAAAAAACTCCTTATGTGGGTTTTCATACATTTCCATTAAAAAGTGTGGGCAAAATCATAAAAATACCGAATATCGGGGGTACCTTTGTATGGGGACTATACGATGTCGTGGACCTATACAAACAATTCTCTTCTTTTTTTTAGTCTTCTATCTTTTTTTCGTTTTGACTCTAGCGTGATTAAAACAGACGGTCGGACAGTGCTAAATCGTGTTAGAATTTTATACTATGTATGGTGGAGGGTATAAAAAGGGTGTTAACTTCAGCCGAGACGAACCTTTCGTAATCGTTACCATATGTGAATTCTTATATTATTGTTAAATCAGTTGTATTAAATAACTAAAATTTAGGATTGATTATATGTAGAGGTGGTATTTAACGGGTACGGCATGTACTAAAAAGTACCAAATATTGTACTCTTATAGCTAGAATTCGGGATTTAGATATTTAGCTTTATCTGGCAATGGAAAAAATTTATGCAAGTGTATGTATGTGGAAATTTTTATCTAAAAAGTACTAATTCCCAAAGTACACATAAAAAAATTAACCTTGTTGGTAATAAAAACTACCAAAATGTACTAAAAGTGAAGAAGAAGATCTAGAATTCTTAAATTTAACATCGGGACACTTTTGACGAAAAGTGCTAAGTTCGGAAAAGTATTAGGTATTAAATGGTAGTACTAGTATCTAAATATGCCAAAATGTGTTTCTGGATCCAAACGAATATAGAATTTGAAAATTCAGAAATTTAGATTATAGTTTTGTTAGTCATTTCTCGTCGGGATGGGTAATATAAAGAGGGTTTTTTGATATATCGTTCGTCAAGGGTATAAAATGCTCAACATTTACAGACGCAACTCTTGTTGCAAAGCGAAGAAATAAGCCTAGACTTTCGTACGAAATTGTGCGATATTGCTACTAAGCAAGCAGTAACAGCTACGATTTTGAAATTTTCCATGAGTAGTTACTACATGTAAGATGAAGACAGATACAGCGGGATTTTTGGTAATTAGTAATTTAAAGGTACAAAATGAGCTAGATATTTGGAAATTAACACGAGATTAACCCCTACTGCAGAGGGACAAGCTCCGAGTTTGAAGAGAAAGACAAATAACGAATAGGTACGAAATGATACAACATTGTTTTAAAGCAACCAGTGATACCTAGGACTTATAAATTTTGCTTTCGGGTCACCTTTGTTGTAAAAACTTTGGAAATGATGGGACTTTTTAACCCCTCTACTAAAAGTACAACAGTATGGTGCAAATTGTGCAGTACTGTTTTTAGCGATCAATAAGAGTTATGACTTTAACATTTTGGGTACGAGCTAAGATGAGGTCGAAATTGTACTAAAAAGACACAAAAACCTCTTGGAGTTACAAAATACTACAATATTGTTAATCAGAACTCGCTAAGTGCTTGAACTTGGACATTTAGTATTAGAATACTTTAAGGGTTTGGAAAACTAGTAGCAGGTAGAAAATAGTACAATATAGATCCGAATTTAAGTGGAGAAGCAAAGTGAAACAATATTGTTGGTGAGCAATAGATAATGGTTTCAATTTTCAAGAGAGGAAAATACGTACTTTAAAAGTTTGAAAAGTACCAAAAGTACTGAACGACCAGTGAGAGCCAGAACTAAAGAAAGTTATGTGGAGTAGTTGACATGTTGTCGGACCAAAAATTCTAAAAGCTTGATTTTTGAACTGAAGTCGGACTGGAACTCGCGGGGATATTCATGGGAAATTCGGAAGGAAAGTTTAAGTTGTGGTACCAATTTTGCGTCTAAAAGTATGCTATGAGTATGCCAAAGATAAATGTGGGAAAGTCACTTTATATGTGACTCTAACATGATCTATAACATAGGCTTAACATTCGATGAATCAAACTTGATGAAGGACTATTTTTGTATGAAGTTACGAAAATGAATGCGAAAGAAAAACGCCATTTGAAATCAAAAACGTAACGTATATCAAGGATCGTATTTGCAATGTTATTTTTTCTCGTATTCATTTCCTTCAATCTTTCAAGCCTTCAATCTTTAATATTCCCATTTAATCTTCCCTTAACTCGCATCCAAAATTTAAATTTATATTTGCAACTAATTTCATAATTTCTCTTTTTTTTATCTCACAGAGGGTTGTGCTTGGTATCCTGGTGGTTCGCTACGCAATAGTCCCACAATAAATGCTGTCAATGCTTTTGTTGTACATTATATACCAGCCTATATATTAGATGTTATGGCGCGATTAGTTGGCAAAAAGCCAATGTAAGTATTCCCCCGAAAATTTTAAAATACTCCCATTAATAACTGAATTATTTTCTTCACCTTTTGCAGTTTTGTCAAAATCCAAAATAAAATCGCCAAAGCCGTTGAATGTTTGAACTATTTCGCCACCCATGAATGGCAATTCAAGGATGACAATGTGTGCGCCTTGCTGCAGACCCTGAGTCCAAAGGATCGCGACAATTTTGTGTTCGACGTGACCACAATTAATTGGGAGAAATATATGGAACGATATGTGTTGGGCTTCAGAGAATTCCTGTTCAAACAGAAACCACAATCATTACCTGGCAGTCGGAAAAAGATGATGAGGTGAGTGTGTGTGTTTTTTCGATTATTGTTACAGGGGAGTATGATTGATTTGTCGGAAGAATATTAAATAAATAAGAGAAATGGCCTTTTATATATAATACGATGAATAAGATAGGCCCTCTATTTATGGAAGATGTTTTGAAGATTCCTATGAACTTGTTTCTAGTTAGGCCTATTATTTTAATAATTTGATACATATTTTAAATATTTTGAAATCTAAAAATTTGTATAATATTATTAATTAAAAATATTATTATAATAATTGCTCTTTTTCCCTTTTCCATCCCCTTTTCTTTCCATTTCCAGATTATATTATATCGATCTATTAACAAAAGTTTTTATGGTCATTTGTACTTGGCGTTTCCTGATGTCACGTTCAAAACGTTTGAATGCCGTGTGGTCATCGTTTTTACAAAATATTTTGAGATTTGTGCGTCTTTTGCCATTTTTGTAATATAATTTATTTAGACAACAACAATAACAAGAACAACAACAACAACCAGAAACCACTACTCAATTATAAACTATATTTTTTTGTTTGGGGAAATAATTAAGAGTAAATAACTTTATATTTACAACAAAAAAAAAATACACTCACACATACACACAGAGACATACAAAACAAATATGCAGAGATACATGATTAAGCATCTAGTGTATAATTATTGAATGAAAAAAATAAATAATTATTTTTAATATTATTTGTTTTTAGTTATATACATGCAACCATCTATATATACAACAAATATATAATTTTATTTGTTTATGTTTTTCGTTTGTAATTTTAATTGTCACATATTTAAATAATTTTTTAATTTATAATTGTTTTATATACATACAACCATACCATACCATACTTGAGGACAGAGCTAATAATATTTTGTATTTATATATGAAAAAGTAAATATTTACACATATACAAACATTATATTTATATATAAATAAATAATGTAAAATTATTATTATTTTTTTTTTAATTTAATTAAATATACATACTTTTGTTTTGATTATACATTAAAACATATATATATATGAACCCAATATTTTATTTGTCTTATATACATATAAATAGTTTTGTTTGTTTAGGTTAATAATTAAATTAAGATTTTTGTTTTTTGTAAGATTTTAGCAAAATGTGGTGGGATCGAGTGATTTCAAACTAAAAAATCCGAAAATACTTTAACACATATTTTTGTAATAATTTTCTGGATATTTGGTGGTTGAGTGGTGGAGAAGAGAGCCGGATGAGAGTAATGAAGAGAGCATTTTGATTATTTGTACAGTATGAATTATGGAGTTATTTGCTATATGACACCTACTTTTAGGCTCGGTAAAGAAGAGATTATCAATTAATTGAAAAAGTGAAGCCCACTTTCACGCGCTTGAAGACAATTTAAGGAGTTTAAAAGTTATTTAATTGTTCATAGTCTTAGTTATAAGACATTAAGGAGCTAGCATTTTTGAATCGTGGTTCCTATGTGTGCAATTTGGGAACTTTTAGTGTACAGTACCAATTTGCTATGTTACTAGAAGATGAAACAAAAATTGCGATTTATATTCCCGAAACACGACTATCACCACGATATGAAGAATATCTATTTTTTTCTACCGCAAGTATTCAGAAACCCCAGCCTATGATAAGCAAACTTTTATATTTATGCAAAGAAATACTGGTATTTATAAAACGATTAACCTACTCTGTACGCTTTGAGAAAAATATCATTCCATGCAAAATCTTCTTTTCCGCACATCGGTATTTATGAAAAATTATAAGAATCTTAAAAAATGCTGCACATAGAACTTTTGGTGTACTGTACAAATATGAGTCAAGACTTTAATGGAATGACTTTCCTTTTAGGTAACAAGAGAGCTTTTCGCCTTTGTAAGCTTTAAAGTCTGGGGTATTTTTTATAAAATACTGTCCTCTACATAAAACTCTTTTAATCTTCTCGATTTAAAACTGCGCACGGATTTTCTTTTGTACTGTACCAACATAGGTCATATTTCGTGTATCAAAAATTAGTTTGATCATGATGAGCAGCAGCACATTATCTTGTCACCAAAAAAGAGCTCTACCGAATATAAAACTGTTTTTGTTTTACAAAACTGCGCAAATAATTCTCCGTGTGCTGTACACATATATCAATTGATTTCAGTGATTAGAATATGTTTTCCGAAAGGCATGAGCACTACTATCCTCTGAGAAAAAAATATGTCTAGAGTGTATACATATTTCAGAGAAAAACTGGTTTGGAACTAAAATTTTCAGTTTCAAACTTGCGCAAATGGCTTTGGCCATACTGTACAAATATACATATGCATTCGAATTAAATAAGTATTTTTCTAAGAAGAAAAGACCATTACCCTTCTGTTTGAAAAAATTAACTTGTTGTTCACACATATTTTTTCAAAAACAAAGCTCTATAATTCAAAAAATGTTATATATTGTTCCAAAAATTGCGCAACAGATTTCGGTTGTACTGTACAAGTATATCAATGGATTTTAATGCATCGAACTATTTTCCTGAAGGACAAGACCATTACCTTTCCCTCAGAGCAAAAGTACTTGTTATTGGCCCTCTTAATTCTGTGAATAACTTTGTCAGATACAAAATCTCGTTTTTTAAAACTGCGTAAAGTATTTTGGCTGTACTGTACAGAAACACGAATGGGTTAGAATACATCGACCTGTTTTCCTGGAAGACAAGACCATTATCTCTCCCTCAGAGCAAAAGTACTTCTTATCGGCAGGGTTATTTCGGCGAAAAAACTTTGTAAAAACAAAGTCCAATTTTTTCAAAACTGCGCAAGGTATATTTCCTGTACTGTACAAGTTTACGAGTTTACGGGAATGCATTGAACTATTTTCCTGGAAGTCAAGACCATTAGCATCCCCTGTGAGTAAGATTACTTTTTTTATGTACATATATTTCATTAAAATCTATGCCAGAAGCAAAATTTTTTACTTTCAAAACTGGGCAATGAATTTTGGCTGTACTGTACAAATATACGACTTGATTCTAATGAAATGAGTTATTTTTCTTGGCGAAAAGGCCATTATCCTTCATTGAGGTCAAAAATACTTCTAGTTTCTACAAATATTTCCTTAGAAATCTGTGAAATAGAAAGATTTTTTTAATTCACTCACTTTTAGAAAATGTGCAATGAATCCCACCTGTAATGGACATATAGGTGGCTTGATTTAGGTCCAGTGACTTATTTTTTTAAAGTCTACATCATTATCATTCCCTAAGAGAATAATTCTCACAGAAAAAAATCATATTTTAAACGAGGTCTCTGTAAAATCAAATCTCTTCAACGTAAACACTGCGCATAATATTTGAGGCGTACTGTACAAACATACGAATTGATACTAGTGTAATAAAATGTTTTTTTTCTGGAAGGCAGTGCCACCAGTTTTGTCTGTGACCTTACATTTTAAGAAAAATCTTTGCCAAATAGGAAAATCTGCATCCTGCATCAGATTAGAAAATGTGTTACAAATTTCAGCTGTACTGCATATGAATTAATATGCTTCGATAATGAAAAGATTTTTGCTCAGCCTCCAGTTTACTCTGAAAAGCTCAGTAAGAGGAGGAAAGGAAGCTTTAAGAGAAGTATAGATAACTTTGTCAATCTAGTGATAATTGCGAATATAGCTAAGGAAAGGCTCTAATACTGAATTTTAAAGCTTTTTTAGCTACAAATAGTGTATAATAATCCAAGTTTGCACACATGAATGTCTGTCAGCGATTGCCTTCTCGAATTTGAGTAACAAACTGTTGAAATTCTCTCTTCATTATTTTATTTCGAATTAGGACTTTCAATCAAGCTCAGCCACCTTAGAACTAATCCTAATGGAAGTTTTTAGTCACAATATAGATATCAAGCTACAATATTTTTCTTCTCTTGTCTCTTTGTATCTTTTCCTCCTTTTAATCTCTTTTAATCTTTATTTCCACACCTTGTCCCATGACAAAAGAAAAACAAAACAACCAACCAATAACTAAACTATTTTCTCGCTTATTGTTTATTTCGAAACTATAAACAATAATAATTAAAAACAAGAGCAAAAGAAAACTGTGGAATAAAAATCACAACAAAGCAATTCTTCTTAAAACTATTTCTAAAATTACAATCTAATCTGTAGTCATTTACAACAACAACAAAAAATAATAAGTTAAAAATTCAAAAAAAAAGAAAAAAACAACTACCAAGAAAAAGGCATAAAACTTTAGTGCAGTTTTTATTATTAAAACAAAAAACTAAAAAACAAATTATATATATAAAAAAAATTAAAAATAATAATAATGCTTATTGTTGCTTTAAACAAAATATATAGTAAAATTACAAAAAAACCAACAACAATTATAAACTAACTTAATTGGTATTATAAATAACAAATAATTTATAATAAAAAAATAATTAATAATAAAGAGAACAAAAACAAACATAAATTTAGTTTAAAAATTTTTACAAACGTTATTATTAAACAACAACAACAAAAAAAAACAAAATACGCTAATTTAATTTAATAAAACAAAAATACAAAATGACATTTGAAAATCATTAACAACAAAATTCAGTCAAAGTCAACCGCAACAAACAAAACCAATTACAACAACAACAACATCCATTAGATTTATTACAGTATAAAGAAGAAGAAGAAGAAAAAACAAACAAAGAAACAATACAAAAACAAATTAGGAAACAAAACAAAAAAAACTACAAAAATTACAAAACATAAAACAAAACTAATTTAATTCTATTATTTAATAAAGAAAATTGCGTAACAAAAACAAGAACAACAAAAAAAGACATTAGTTCTTTACAGAAATACAACAACAACAATGTAATAATGATAATTACAAGTAAAGGTGAAAAAAATAAATAAATAAATTTGAAAAATAAAAATATACGATTTTGGAGTTTTATTCCAGTTGGGAGCGTGGGGCACGTCTGGCTCTGATAGCCATAACTATTTTTGCCAAGAATGTAGACTTTCTAATATTAGTAATTTTAATATTAGAAATATTAGTAATTTTAAATATTCAAAGAATGGAGTTTTCAGATTCCTTAAAAGTCCACTCTTATGGCTCTTACAGTCCATGTCCGGACCACATTAAATTTACAAAATCGTCTTCTGCTGATTCCTATGGTCCTTGACAAAGTCTGCATAATGACTACAATTTTATATCTCAGAAAAAAAATTCAAACCATGTCCTTACAGAATTGAAAAAAGCTACTTAAAAATTAATTTTTTCGAAAACTAAAGAGGTTGCGCCTATGCTTTTTCAAAAATCTTCAAAATTTTTACTTATATCCCTTAAAAAAAATTCTCACTTATGGCTCTAATAAGGTATTTAAAATCTTTTTCACTATCCTCGACCAACTAAAATAGTTCTTTGAAAAAAAAACTTTAAAAAGTCTATTCCTAACTAAAATTCAAATAGTAACAAGTAAAATAGCAGTTAAGTTCGGCCAGGCCGAACTTTTAATACCCTCCACCATTTTGAAGGAACTTGAAAAATGTCATAAAAATTCAGTAGAAAATATCTCTCAGACGAAACCCCTTATATGGGGGCTATACAAAGACGTGGTCATTCATAAGTAATTTTTGCCATAGGTTTCCGAACTTCAAATACGAAAATTGAAACAATTCCGGTGAATAAGGCCGTTAAAATCATCAAAATACCAAGTAGAGGGAGGTATAGTTTTATGGGGGCTATACGAAGACGTAGGCAAACATAGATAATTTTCAGTCGTAAGCTGTTGTACCTATTAAGAACTTCAAATACCAAATTTGAAACAATTCCGGTGAATAACGCCGCTAAAATCATTAAAATACCAAATATCGGGAGGTACCGTTTTATGGGGGCTATACGTAGACGTGTATCTGCATAGGCAATTTTCTGTCACAGGTTGTAGTACTCGTTACAAAGTGCAAATACGAAATTTGAAACGGTTCCTGTCAATAATGTACCTAAAATCATTAAAATGCCGAATATAGGGAGGTACCCGCATAGGGGGCTATACGAAGACCTGGGCCTGCATAGACAATTTTCTGTCACAGACTGTAGTACCCATTACGAAGTGCAAGTACGAAATTTGAAACAATTCCGGTATATGATATAGATATATTGAATGACAAACTTAATATATCCTTCATACTATGGCTTTTAACTCTTTATGAGGAAAGTTCCGAAAGGGTTGACAAATATTGTCTATTTCGTATCTGAACTAAGTCTGATATAAATATTACAAGATAAAAATATTGGAATACGCAAAATTTAAAGAAAATCGAACACCTACTTACAATTCTCATCGAAATTGAAATAGCTATTAGATCTATAGTTAACAGAAATATTGAGATACTCGAAGTTTGATGAAAAACTTTATGAGAGTTTGACCCGTAGTGGGGGAGGTATTAGAAAGAGTGGTTCTATATATTTATACCATACAACACTATATGTTGTGGGTATTAAAAGTTTGATTGGGACAAAAATTATGTAACACCTCGAAATATTGGTTTTCCACATAGGAAAGTACATATGGATCTTCCTATCTCGCCGAGCTGAGTCGATCTAGCTATGTATGTCCGTCCGTCTGTCCATGTTAATCTGTAAAATAAAACCCTATTGTTTTTGGAGATGATAGCATAATATTTAGTTAGCTGAATTGGACCAAAAAAAAATTCCTGATTTTGTAGTTGCTCTACAGGTCGCAATTATAGACCAATCGACGCAGAAGTTAGCATGGGCCTAGAGCTTAGGGCTGGGCAAAAGTTATCCAATTTGGAATGTCATCGGGTAATATTTAGTGGGTAAAATAGACCATAACATTTTTGTTAAATACTTTTATTTAATTCGCGAATATTTTTATCCCGGCGAAATCACTAATAGACGAAAGGTCAATTCTGACCGTTACGTAGATATCGATAGTAACTATATCGGATATATACAGGGTGAGATGAAAAACTGCAACAAACTGCAGACATGGTTTGAAAAGTATAGAAGCGACTTGATCGAAACTCACAAAAAATGGCTCGGGGTTAAACATATCGCAATATTCCATTCGGCAAATACTGAAAAATGAGATCGGGGTAAAACCATTGAAATTCCAAAAAGTTCATGAACTTACACCGCAACAGAAAGAAAATAGACTCAAAAGAGCTAAAGAGTTGCTTCGCTTGGCCGAAAGTTGTGAACTGTCGAATTTGGTTTTCTCCGATGAGAAAACATTTGTTGTCCAGGAGTTTGTAAACAAACAATATTATCGTCTACACCTTCGGTTGGCTACCAAGCGACTCAAGCGACGACCATGGTGATGGTGTGGGCCTCCATAACAGCCGATGGTCGCTCTCCGCTCGTATTAATCATCAGAATAAATGCCGAATATTATCGCGAAAATATTCTGGAGGGTGTATGAAAGCCTTGGGCACGCAAACATTTTGGCCGCAGACCTTGGACATTCTAACAGGACTCAGCACCATCGCACTCAGCACGCGCCTCCCAAGAATGGTTACAAAATGAGGTTCCTCGCTTCATTTCCATCGCACAATGATACCAATCCGTTGAAGTATTGTGTCTAGAGCATTTTGGAAAGCAAAGTTGGCTAAAAAATACCGAAGCAAGCAAGCGCTTCTCCGAGAATGGACCAAAATACCACAGAGGAACATTCGGGCAGGGTGTGACGGTTTCATTGGCCGTTTGAAGGCCATAATTCGTGCCAAAGGTGACCAATTCGAATAAATCTAAACGTATTCTAAAATTTGATGCTATTTCCGATATTTTCAGCTTTCATTCAAAATAAATTTTAAAAAAATGTAAATATTATGCCGTTTGATTTTTTTGCAGTTTTTTTTTTTAATGTCACCCTGTACACCATCTTCACAACTGATTTTGTGTTGATAGAAATATTGGTGTGTGACGAGTTTAAAAGGAATCAGATGCTCAATTTGGGGTTTACGAGCTATCAGGGCTATTCAAAATGTTGACCCGTTGACATTATGTTAAGTCAAGTAAAAAAACAATAACGTCGGACGTGCCGAACTTTTAATATCCTTCACTTTTTAGAAGGAATTTTTAAATTTTCCTAAAAAAAAACTGTTGAAACATATTACTAACATTATAAAAATATCGAATATAGGGACTAACCGTTATATTGGGGCCTACGAAGACATCAACGTGCATAGTCATTTTCTGTCACAGATGGCAGTAGGAACTTTAAATACGAAATTTGATGATAATTTCACAAAAAGCAATTTTTTTGTCATAGTCTGTTGTTACTTTTACGCACTACAAATACGAAATATGAAACAACTCCGGTGAATGTCGCTAAAATCCTCAAAATACAGAATATATGGAGGTACCATCATATGGGGGCTATACGTAGACGTAGACCTGTTTGCAATTTTCTGCCAAAGTGTATAGCACCCTTGCAAATTCTAAACATTTTCGGTGAAAAGTGTGACACAAATCATAAAAATACGCAATATTGGAAGGTACAGTTTTATGGGGACTATATAAAAACTCAGACCTACATTATGCAAGGATGTTTCTTACATAATGCGATTTCCATACACGAATGGACATCGCTAAAGTTTAAATCATCTTTTCTCTTTGAAAACTTTGACCTTATGTGGTGTAGGTAAAAGAAGGAGTGGACCGATGTTGCCCATTTCCGAACTCGATCCAAGTTTGACAATAATATTACTATGTACCTGTCTAGACCGGATCGGAAACTCCCTTCGAGAGTTATCGTGCGCACCAGCAAGTCAGACAAACCGACGGACAACCCTAAATAGACTCATGTAACGGCCGTTATTTCGATAGGGCACGTTTTGGCCGTATAAAATGATATATTTGCTAAAAACAGAACATCTCCAAAAAGCATTTTAAAGATATTGGTCTTATAAGTCTTACTAATACAAGTAAAAAAAGTAGCTAAATTCGACCATCTGAACTTTTAATACCATCCACCATTTGGAAGGAACTTTACAAAATTCCAAAAAAATTATGATTTTAGTCACATTTCACTTTCTTTTCTCACGGAATTGTTCCAAATTTGGAATTGAGAGTTTGTAACATTTCTACATCCGGTGGCAGAACATTGTGTTTTCTTCCTGTAGCGCCCATATATTCGACATTTTGATGATTTTAGCCCCATTTATAAATAGAACTATTTAAAAATTAGGTATTAAGAGTTTATAACGGGTTTTTGCTTCTGGTTACTGAACATCGTCTCTATAGGTCCATGTTTTCCTATAGCCTTGATATTCTGTATTGTGAGAATTTAGGCCACATTTTCTATGGGATTAGATTCAAAATCGGTATTAAGAGTCCGTAACGGGTTCCAACTCTGATGGCAGAACAATGTCTGTATATGTCCACGTTTATTATAGTCATCATATGGTACTCTCGGATATTCGGTGTTTTTGATGAGTATGATCAAAATTTTTCGCTGGTTGCTAAACTTAGCCTCTAAAGGTCCACGTTTTACTACAGTTATGATTTTACTAGAGTTATGTAGCTCATAATAGATTCTAAAAGCGGTGTCAAAACATTGTAATTATTGGTCCATGATTTCCATAAAACGAGAGAGACCAATAAGTAATTATTTTTTGGCGACCAGAATCCACTTTTTATACCCTCCACCATACATAGTATGGAGGGTATATTAAGTTCGTCATTCCGTTTGTAACTCATCAAAATAATCATTTTAGATCCAACAAAGTATATATATTCTTGATCAGCGTAAAATTCTAAGACGAATTAGCCCTGTCCGTCTGTCCGTCCGTCCGTCCGTCCGTCCGTCTGTCCGTCCGTCAGTCTGTCCGCCTGTTGTAATCACGCTACAGGCTAAACGAATTAAGATAGAAAGCTAAAACTTTGCCCAGATCTTTGCAGGTCGAGTT